TAGATACTTTATTTATCCCGAAGGAAATTCAAGAATTGTTATGCATTGAATATAAAATAAAATATTCATAAAATATGTCACTTGGTCACCAGTTTACTCAATTATAGAACAAGGGGGCCTTTAGGGAAATGGTTGGGAGCCACTGGTACACACAAGGGTCGTCAAAACTATAATTATTCCCTTACTTCTGTTTGTGGGGTCACAACCTGTAAACAGATTCATTTCAGACCCTTCAGTCATCAGGGTAAAGTCAATATGACTAAGGACACCCTCTCTCTGAAACTGCTGCCTCTGACTGTTGACCTTCAGCAGAATTACAGGCTGTGAGGGTCATTTGTCATGTATGGTCCAGTCTCTCTGCTGTGAGCACAACAGTGGGTGATACACACCACAGCTCATCCAGCTTTCCCTTGGCTGAAGATGAAACAAACTTCCACAAAAACATGCCGCAGTGTGCCAGCCTGCAAACTTCCTCGACTCATTTGACTGAAAGGACTTTGACAGACCACTGGCTCTGCAATGGAACATGATGGACATCTTGCCTTTCGAAAATCAGCAGCAGCCATTTTGGTGCCATTAAGGACCACAATAGCAAAATTAATGACTTCTGAAGCACTGAACAACTGGTCAGGAGTTCATCACTGCTCAATTAAGTAGCACAGAGATAACCTCAGACTCCTGCACTTCAGGACAAGACTCTGTGACTCTAGTTTTTTAAATCTGAGGTGGATGATTGTAGAGAGAAGATGAACCAGAGCTTATCACAGCTACCGTAGAAAATCATTTCAGTCTAGGACAACAATAAAAGAGAAATAATCTTAAATTAAGTGGATAGCAAGACATTAAAGAGAAGGTGAAAACAAGTTAATGAAACTCCCTGTGATGAGGATGATTATGGCTAGAGCTGATTAAAAGATGAATTCACTTGGAGTATAATAATGATTGTTTATTATGAATAATACATAATCCCCCAACACACACACACACATGCACAAATATATCAATACTTTCACTCAAGCATGCCAGCACTAACATACAGACACACTTCTGTCAGATCATTAATTCATCTCTTTCCACACACACACACACACCTTGCAGCTTCCCCTCTTTTAAGTAGCCTTTGTGCTCCTGGTATAATGAGGGTTAAGGGGTTAGAGTTGGGGTAACAGTGCAGAGGTTAAAGGTTAGAGATTAAGGGTTAAGGGCTTTCACGGTACAGAAGATGCTGAATTGACTTGTTCACTCTTAACATTCAAAACAGATGCATATTGACTCGTTTGGTGAAGTAGCTGCTAAAGAAGCTAAACTGGACTTTGATGTATGATATGACTTATTTCCCTTAAAAGCCCTGTGGAGAGGCTGCATCTTGCAGCTAAAAGAATTTATCTTTCACTAGAACAGCCAAGGACTTCTACTGAAGTGGAGGCAGGATTAAGGCTGTGACATACTTTTAAAGAAGAACAGTTAAAAGCTTCTTTCAGACTCTAAGACGGGGAGGGCTTCCTCTCACAACTTTTTTTTTTTTTAATTCCCAAAACTGACAAACCATCAGTCACGCCTGCCTTCTGCAGAGACCGGCCATTGAGCATATGTGTGAAAATGGTC